GTAATCTGCAATATAATACATTTTGGTTTTGGGTTTAAAAGTGCTTTAAAGTGGTTGTAAACCCTCACATATATCCAGTGAAGTGACTGGCCTTAGGTGATAAACAGAGATTAAACAAATCCTCCTACATAGGTTGTACCTGTTTATCTGCACTCTTCTCTACATCTGTTCAAAGTCCTGAATTTATAAAGCTTGCCTGAGCTGTCAGAAAAAAGGTGACAGAGAGCTGAAATTACACTCTGCAGTGCTCAGGAAAGCTCTGAGAGCTGAACGGAGAGAAGGGACACATCCCCTTCACACATTACACAGGAACAGAGCTGAAGCTGTCAATCTGCTGGAAGTCTCTCCCCGTCATCATTTTTCTCTTGGTGTCAGGAAAACTTGTCAGAAGGGATGCATGCTGATAGCAAAGGAATGAAACATTACACAGAGAAGACACATAGTGCTCTTAATTGAGACACACTATAGAGGGATATGCTTTGTTCATATTTTATGTCTTAGGTTTGCAACCACCAGGCAGATATAAAAGGCAGGCACAAACAAATGCATTTCTGTATGCTTAAAGCACACCAAAGCCATGGGACTTAATAGAAGTCTATGAGAAAGCGCAGCTAACCCACACGAAAACTGCAGATACATGCAGCAGCCAAAGCTCAGTTGAGCAGTGTAAAAGCACCCTCAGACTAGACTTTTCTTAGATGTATTAACTTTGAAAGAATATTAAACGTTGTAAATTGATATTTAACAGTGACCCTGTTTTAGGTGACGGTGCTCTTATAATCAATTATATTTAAATCATATTGGCCAGTTCAAGAAGGCAGTGTAAAGAGCTGTTGCCAAATGTGTTAAAGTGACATAAAAGTCATTTTTTTCATAAAGCACGTCCTAAAATCTCACTTATAACTTACATGCATTAACTATTTTTTTTTTTTTTATAAATTCCTTCCTCTGAGTTTACTTTTTAAAGTGTTTCTCATCTGCAATGATATATTTCTGTTCTATTTGTGTCCTCTATAGTGTCACATAGGAGTCTCCTTCACATGGGTGCTACCATTTTGAACTACAGCTTTACGGGCATCACGCATACAGGCAGTGCAAGAGGTAAATAGAATAAAAGCCATGCCTCTCCTCCTCTGCAGGGGTGATTGAGAGCGACTATGTGTCCCAGTCGCATAACGTGTGTGTTTGGTTTTCAAAAACAGCTGCACATACTGTTATAATTCAAAACGGGAATGTGCACTTAGAGGAGACTCATTTGGCACTTCATAGGTCCTGGCGGGACACAGGGGACACAGGAAGAACGAGAGTGTGTCAGAGTGACCAGGGGACACTTTAAAAAATAGTCTCAGAGAAGGAATTTTATAGAAAAACAGCTAATGCATATACGTTATTATAATAATATCTGTTTTATAAAAACTTTAATGTCACTTTAAAGATGATTTTTGATTAGTTGCAATTGGTTACTGCTTATTCATATAATTGCTCTTTCCAGAATTATGGCCCCCATTCACTGGGTTTATTACACCATGAATTCAATAACCCATTTCTAAGTAACAGGCTTTAACTTTTAAGTGACAATCTCTGAAAATTATAAAATGCTTCTGCAGATGAGGCACAAATATCAGCACTAACCAAGGCTTCAAATGCCAGTTAGTAAATGAGTGTGAAGGAATTTGTAATGGAGCTCCCAATAAAATAAATTAATGGCAGCATGGCTGTTAACATTTCCGAAACATTAAACTGATGCCCAAATGCTAGCCCAAAAGCAGTGTGTGCTTAAGAAATTCTCATGATCTTATAACATGAAATTTTAACAAGAGGATAATAATGTACAGTAGTTCACACAGGGGCATGTTAAGATATTAATCAAGTCTAACATATGAACTTTCTTCTTTTCTTTAAGGTGCTCTTTGGGATGGTGAAGAGGCTTCATTTGTCCTGTGCAGATTCCAAACCTACAAGCTTCTCTTCTTGATTGACCTTTCTTTTCAAATATATTCAAGCTAAGCACCAAAAAAGTAAGATATTGATATATCAGTTAAAAAAAAATAATGTACCATTATCTAAGCATTCTGTGTGTAACTGATACAGCAAAATCACAGGTTTGTTTGAAAAGTAATGATGGTTCTGATATTTTTGTTTGATATTTTAAAATATTAACTAAATGATCAGACCCAGCAGTGGCATGGATTAAAAAAAACTATAGCAAAAAAGGCATAGGCTTCTTTTACAGGTATCCAAAGCCAGTGTTTACCAGTGTTAATATTTGAATCATTGCAAAAAATGCATTTTAGCTGATTAAAGCTAAAGTGGTAAGGAACCTCAGGCAGTTGAGGGCAATGATCCCATGTTCAAAGGGATAGTCTAATCTTTTCATTTAGAACTTTAAAACCACTGTATCCCTTTAGACCATGCTTCCAAGAGCTCCAGGCTTTAGCATTTAACATTGGTTTTTAATTCTATGCCTCAATTTTTTTTAGCTATGAGCAACTGGTCATTGTCACTCTTTAACTTTTACTGTAGTCTACTACAGCACTCTTTACTTTAGGAACTACAAAAGGAAGGAAGGTCTTGGGAGAAAAGAACATCTGACTGTAAGGTTGCAGTGTTCTCAGTTGGAATATTCCAGACTGTTTGGTTAGCAAATTTCTGATGATATTAGGAATTAAGAAGATGCTTCCTCTGCAGATAGATCATGCAAGAAAGCACAGCATGGCAAAAAGTGGGTGTTTCCAATTATAATATTTTACATGCACATGCACATGCACATGCTAAACAAGGAGCAGTAAAGTTAATCATAATGTGATATATGGGTTTTACAGAAAACAGCTGTTTCATGGACATCTAGTAACAACCATGAACGTCGTCCTTATCAGCTACTTTCAGTAAAATGCAAATATTATATTATAATATAATAATATACTAGAATCTGAACTGATTGATTTACAGTATATATGAAAGATTTTAAAATCACAATAAGCTGGGACCTGGCTGGAGTGAAGGACTGAGAAAGATGAGGAGCAAGCCGGATAAATCAGGAGGTGGAAAGGTGCTCCAACCAGCTCCTAGCCCAGGGGGAATTCAACGGTTTATGTCTGCAGAAATGAGAATAATAGAGGATGGGGCTGATAGCCCATTGCAGGCAACTGCGGCACGGACAGTGGCAGAGAAGCAAAAGCCCGCAATGGAGGAGACTACAAGAATCCAGTGACCCAATTTCTAGCCGGCCAAGAAGTTCAGGGGGTAACCTGTGGGGGAGTCTTAAAACACTGGGTAAAGATTATAAAGAAAGTAATGTAAAAGAATAAGCCTTATCAGTGGAGGACCCAACGAGCCCAGAAGAAGGTCAATCGCATGTTCCATTGACTAAAGAAGTGTTAGCGGACATGCTAGTGAAAGTGGAAGTTTCACTGAAAACAGATATCACTGCAGCCCGGGCTGATTTGGGGTAGGTTTTCAGCAGAGTGGAGGAGGTGGTGGAAAGATATTAGGTCTGCATGACCAGGAGCTGAGAGAGCAGATGAAGGTCCTTCAGAGAACACATAGATCCTTGCTATATAAAATGGAAGATCAGAACTGAGTTTGCACAAAAATTTGTGCATAAGGGGCTTACCTGAGCAATATCAAGAGGAAGATCTGCCTGGCGAGATATTCAATCCATTCTTGGGAAAGGAGCCTTCAGAAATATTAATAATTGATACAGTATATATAGCTTGACTAGGTATCAAAGCCAAACAGCTGATGCTCCAAGGGATGTTATAGTGAGGTTCCATTATGCAGAGGAGAAATCAATAATAATGGAAAAAGCTTGATGAAGCCCAGGGATCACTTTTGAAGGAGTTACTCTATAGATTTACTCAGACCTGGCAGCAGAAACATTTGTCAAGAAGAAGGCTGCTTAAACCATTAACAGAGCAATTGCGGCTGTCAATCTCATATTGCTGGGGTTTCCTGGCTTGTCTTAAGGGGGAAAAAAATGGTTGCATACCTGTATTGAGATTCCCAGAAGATCTGCGGGACTTTTTTAGTAAGCTAGATCTGTCACCCCTGTTCTCCCGGGATGTGAAGTAGGATCCTCTTTGAGGAATAGGCAATGGACTCTTGGGGGGGGGGGGGGGGGGAGAAAGGGGGAAAGGTACCAAGATGGGCAATTAAGTAACCTGGAATGTCTGGGGGTTGAATACCCCCAGTAAAAGGTATAAGGTAAATAAAGAACTGTATTATTACGCTGCATATCTAGTATTGTTGCAAGAGATGCATATCAATCATGCGTCTGGGTGTAAGATGTCCTCTCATTTTTTCTGAAGTGGTTCTATGGCGACTCGACTTTAAGCCGTTCTAGAGGAGTTAGTATGGGTTTCAACAGATGCACTATGTTTACACTGAGGGAGCAGAAAGTTACCGTATTTTTCGCTCCATAAGACGCACTTTTTTTTCCCCCCAAAAAAGGGGGGAAAATGTCTGTGCGTCTTATGGAGCGAATATGGAGCGGCCGGTCCGGTATTTCCACCACCGCCGTGTCAGAATACCGGGCCGGCCGCTCAGCTCTGCAGCGAGACCTTATAGAGATGAGTGCTGACCTTTGGGGAGGGGGGGGGAGCGGGTACCTGAATTTGACAGATACCCGCTCCCACTTCCGTGGAGTTGTTCTTTCATCTTACATGTTCCTCTATCCAGCGGCGCGCTGTCTTCCCGGCTTCTGTAGTGTGGGCATGACAGCCGGGTGCCAAGTGCGCATGCGCAAGAAGCGGTGCTTTTTGTGAATGGTAAGGCGGCACCTGGGACACATGACAGATCCCAGAAGCCGCCGGACCAATCACAAAGCGCAAGTACTTCTCGCTCATGCGCACTGGGCACCCGGCTGTCATGCCGAGCGCCATTACAGAAGCCGGGAAGACAGCGCGCGGCTGGATAGAGGAACAGGTAAGATGAAAGAACAACTCCGAGGAAGTAAGAGCGGGTACCTGTCAAATTCAGGTACCCGCTCCCCACCTCCCCAAAGGTCAGCAGTCATCCCCTGTACTATCCACAGTCTCTGGTCATCCCTGTGCTGTCTGCAGTCTCTGGTCATCTCCTGTACCGTGTCTGCAGTCTCTGGTCATCTCCTGTACTGTGTCCGCAGTCTCTGGTCATCCCTGTGCTGTCCGCAGTCTCTGGTCATCCCTGTGCTGTCCGCAGTCTATGGTCATCTCCTGTACTGTGTCCGCAGTCTCTGGTCATCCCCTGTACTGTGTCCGCAGTCTCTGGTCATCTCCTGTACTGTGTCCGCAGTCTCTGGTCATCTCCTGTACTGTGTCCGCAGTCTCTGGTCATCTCCTGTACTGTGTCCGCAGTCTCTGGTCATCTCCTGTACTGTGTCTGCAATCTCTGGTCATCTCCTGTACTGTGTCTGCAGTCTCTGGTCATCCCCGTACTATGTCCGCAGTCTCTGGTCATCCCCGTACTATGTCTGCAGTCCATTAGTTCAGAATTTTTTTTTTTTGTTTTCTGCCTGTTTTCTGCCTCTAAAACCTAGGTGCGTCTTATGGTCAGGTGCGTCTTATGGAGCGAAAAATATACGGTACATAGTTACATAGTTAGTCTGGCTGAAAAAAAGACAAAAATCCATCCAGTTCAACCATTAAAAAAAAAAAAAAGTATAATCCTATACCCACAGTTGATCCAGAGGAAGGCAAAAAAACCCAGCAAAGCATGATCAAATTTTCTCCTGCATGGAAAAAAATTCCTTCCTGATATCCCGAGAGGCAATCGGATATTCCCTGGATCAACTTTACCTATAAATGTTAGTATCCAGTTATATTCTGTGTATCTAAGAAAGAATCCAGGCCTTTTTTAAAGCAATCCACTGAGCTGGTCAAAACCAACTCTTGAAGGAGTCTATTCCACATTTTCACAGCTCTCACTGTGAAGAAACCTTTCTGTGTTTGGAGATTACATTTCTTTTCCTCCAGACGGAAGGGGGGCCATCTTGTCCTCTGTGATGACCTCAGGGTGAATATCTCTACACCGAGTTCACTATATGAACCACTAATAAATTTATACATGTTGATCATATCCTCCCTTAATCTCCTCTTCTCAAGAGAGAATAAATTCAGTTCCTCTAATCTTTCCTCATAGCTGAGCTCCTCCATGCCTCTTATCAGTTTGGTTGCCCTTCTCTGCACTTTCTCCAGTTCCCCAATGTTCTTTTTGGGAATTGGTGCCCAAAACTGAACTGCATATTCCAGATGAAGTCTTACTAATGATTTGTACAGGGGTAAAATGATATCTCTCTCTCTGGAGTCTATACCTCTTTTAATACAAGAGGATTTTGCTCGCTCTAGAAACCGCAGGTTGGCATTGCATGCCATTATTAAGCTTGTGATCTATCAGAACTCCCAGATCCTTCTCCACCATTGATTCCCCCAGTTGTACCCAGTATGTATGCTGCCTGCATATTCTTAACCCCCAAGTGCATAACCTTACATTTATCAACATTATACCTCATTTGCCACATAGTTGCCCAATTAATCAGTGCATTGAGGTCAGCTTGTTAGTTAAAGACATCCTGTAAGGACGTTATTCCACTGCACAGCTTGGTGTCATTTTTAATCTCAGACCCTATATTGTTTTAAATATATTAAAAAGTAAGAATCCCAACACTGAACCTTGGGGTACACCACTGACAACCCTAGACCATTCAGAGTATGAATCATTAACCACTACTCTCTGAATACAATCTTTTAGCCAGTTTTCTATCCATTTACATACAGATTTTTCCAAGCCTGTAGACTTTACCTTACACATTAGCCATGTGTGGGGAACTGTGTCAAACACTTTTGCAAAATCCAAGTATATCATGTCCACCGCCACCCCTCTGTCCAAGGTTTTGCTCACCTCCTCATAAAAAGAAATCAGATTTGTTTGACAACTTCTGTCTTTCATGAATCCATGCTGTCTGTTGCTTAATATATTTTTTTCCAGCAAGAACACAAATTATTAGGTCTATTCAACATAAAGTGCACGTTCGCTAATATTTACTCTGAGAGAGCTCATGACTTTTAAAGAAGAGAAACTGATCATAGCAGATTTTAATATGTGTTTAGATCCTCAATTATACTCATCGGGGGGTTTCTTCCCTTTTCTCAGCTCTAAGGCAGAAGGGGATTAAGAGATTATTAATAAAATACCAACTAGTAGTTGCATGGCGAATCAAACACCACGGGATCAAAGACTATACTTACTATTCTGCAGTATATGGGTCTTATTCGAGGATCGATTACATTTCATTAAAACATCAACTATTAGTTTCCCTGAAGGATGTGGCTATTAAATCTATTACTCTGGCCGATCATGCACCGGTCCTGGCCAAGTTGATATGCCAGAAGTTTCCCGGTCGATATTATGGGAATCTCATAAGGCTTATATAAGGGGTATATTGATGAAAATAGGAGCACAAAAAAAGAAGGGGAAAAAAGAGAGGTTAAGTTCCCTTCTAGGAAAGATCCAAGATTTAGCACAACAGACCATGCCCAAAGGTATCTCAGAGAGACAGGAACTTGTGAGGAAAAGGGAGGAGCTTTCAGAACTCCTGGATCAGTAAACAAAATGTGCATTCCATATTGTTATGAAGGAAAAATACCAATGGGGGAAAAGGCCTATAAAATGGCTGATAAAAGAGGGGAAAGAAATCAGCATCTATCGTCCTGAAAATTAAAGATGAGAAAGGGGAATTGGTACATTCCTCACTGAACATAGCTAAGATGTTCCCATACATATTATAGTTAATTATATAAAGACAGTCAGAAAGAGGATGACAGGAATAGGGGTAAAAATAATCATGAAATACAGCAATATTTAAAGGTGACAGACCTCCTGATACTACCTAATGCGGACCTAGAACATCTGGATAGCCCAAACACACAGGAGATGGTGGCTTGGGTGATAACAAGTATGGTGGGGGGGGAAAGCCCAGGTCCCAATAGGTATACGAGCATGTATTAAAAAAGGTTTCAGAGGATCTTGGTACCCAAGCTATGTGAATATCTGAACGTATTGGGAGAGGAGGTAAAAATTTGAGAGGAGTCACTACAGGCCCATATACAGTAGCTCTTATATTAAAGGAGGGGAAAGATCCATCGACCCCTGCGAGTTATAGGCCAATCTCATTATTTAAAAAAAATCATAAAGATCTTTCCAAGAATATTAGCTGAAAGATTAAAACCCCTAATGCCAAGCTTGAACCATAACGATCAAGTAAAATTTGTAATAGGTTGGGAGGGGAAGGATAACTGTGTAGACATTACTCTTGATGCATGAATTTAAAAAAAGAAAAAAAAAACAGCACTACTTCTCTCAATAGATGCTGAAAAAGCATTGATAGAGTAGACTGGGATTTTATGTTTGAAACCCTCAGACACCTAGGAATAGGAACCAGGATGATGCGGTATATTTCAGCACTCTATTACCACCCAATAGCAAGTAAACGGAACCCTGTCCCTTCCTTTTGAGCTATTTAATGGCACCAGGTGAGGAGGTCCTCTCTCGCTGATGCTATTTGTAATAGCGCTGGAACCCATACTGTCCACAATTCGGAAGAGCACGGATATTAGGGTGGATAGAGTCAGGGAGAAGGAGTATAAAGTAGCTGCGTATGCAGATGATATACTTTTCTATATTATTAATCCAAAGATTACGTTACCAGTAGTATTGGAGGAGCTAAGGCCATATGGGAAATTATCTAACTTTAATATAAAAATGTATATAACTAAGTCAGAGATCTTAAATATAATATGCCATGGAGAGAGCAGGAAGCAATACAGCCACAGTTTCCTTTTACATGATGTAAGGAGGAGTTAAGATACCTTTGAATTAAATTAACAAAATTTGGTTAGGCAGAATAAATGCAATCAACAATGATTATTTTTCCCAAGGTAATATATAAATTCCAAATGCTTCCAATCATTATCCCCCAAGAATTTTTTAGGAAATTGAGATCTAGTGTGTTAAAATATATATGGGTTTATAGGAGACCAAGGATCTCTTATGCTCTACTGGCAAAAGAAAAAAAAGCAGGGGGGTTAGTGGTACCTGATTTTAAAAGGTATTATCAAGCGGTTACTATTGCCTGAATAGGTGATTGGAGTCACAATAAGGAAGGTAAAAGTTGGGTAGGATAGAGGAGGCACAAAGTGAAGTAGATTTAGGCAAGATGGTGTGGATTCCACAGAGGTTTTGGGATTTAGCAAACGGTACAAGTTTATTGACTAATAATGTTTTTATAATATGGGATTCTCTTTGTAGATACTATCGTTGGGTATATAATTCACCTTTAATTTAACTGCTAGATACAAATTACTTTAAACCAGGGAAGGAGGATCATTTGTATTTTGTTAGGTGGGAAAAAAAAGGTGGCACAGCTACACGATGTGATGAATGAGAATAATTTATCCACGTTTTCTGAATTAAAGCAAAAATGGGGTAATATGCCATTGGACTAATGGAGATATGCACAAATACAACACTTTACAGAAACATTACCACGTTCATTACGGGGAAAAGATTACTTGAAAGTAATAGAGAGGTTATTTAGTTCCCCCTCTTGCATTAAGCACAGTACTTCAAACGTTTGCAGGGTTTTGGTGAAGGAGGCGAAACCCAAATAACCGCTGTACCTTGGGAAATGGGAGCGGGAACTGGGAATGGAACTAGGTGAGATTTAAAGGAGGAAGGTTTAAACATTAGCATGGTTTTCATCTATTGATGACATGGTTGATCTATTGATTGATATTAAGATGACAGAAATGGGCAGTACTTTGCTAAGTGGTATGTGACCCCACTGAGGGCACGAAGGTTCAGGGCAGATGCTTCCCCACTATGTCGGGGGGGATATGATGCGCCAGGAACCTTTGTGCATCTGTGGGAATGCCCAAAGATAACGGTTTTTTCTGGGAGAGGGCTGCTAAGGCAACCCAGAAAATAACAGGGGAATATGTACAGGTTGAGCCTTGGAAATGTATGTTTCATAGTGCAGAGAAACCGATCGCTCATTTATTAAATGCCACTAAAAGTGTGATTCCTAAGGTGTGGGGAACACAAAAAATTCCAAGTTTGAGAGATTGGGCTCTACAAATTGAGCCGGTTTTGATCCATGGAGGAGACAATGCATATGGGGGGGGGGGGACTCTGGAGAAATATGGTGCTACCTGGAAGAAATGGTTGGAGTTCAAAAAAACAAGTGGATATATGGACATGTTGGATATATGAAGCAAAGGGGGGTAGGGGTAATAATATTTTGTGTAGGTAGAGGAGGAGATACTGGAAAAGTTTACAGTAGAAATGTGGGAGGGCTCTGGAGGGAGGAGATCAGGGTAGGGGAGATGTTATACTTACGCTTTTTTTTTTTTTTTGGAGGGAGGGACGGGTAGGGGATATAGGAGGTTTAAGATGTAATGATGGTTTCTGATGATTAAAAGTATGCTACTATGTTGTAAATTAAAAAAAAATCAGTAGATCATTTTATTTAATATATTTTTCATAACCCATTTCTAATGATCCCACTCCCTATGTTAACCAAATCAATTTGCACTTACCTTAGATGAACTGGTAATGAGGGCCACAAGTCTACATCATGCTGGGTGATGCTCTTCTCAGACACAGAAGAATCCTCTAATGAAAGTCATAAATGGGTTGAATTTTGAAAGAATTTTCCTTCGAAAATCAAAACTAAGAATTTTCGTTACAATTTTGCACCATTGGTGGGTTGCAACATCAGCCAGCTGACTTTAGTGCGCACATCGAATTTGAGTGATTGGGCATATTGGAATTTTTTTGAAAAACAAACAAATTTCTAATCAATGATAGGAGAAATATAATCAAAAAAGAAATGAGCCATGAAAATTCTTTTCTTTAGCAACATGAGGTGAAATTGAAGGCTTGGTTAGTCAGATTTCGAAATCAATGGTGGCACCATTGGATTACAAATCGCACAATTTGACCCATGTCTGGCCTACCTTACACTCCTCACTCCCTACAGAACAGTAGACAGGTCAGTTGATGGGGAACGTTGGGAACAGGTACTCACAGCTTGACCTTTGGGGGTTTATTTACTAAAGCTGGAGAGTCCAAAATCAGACTCCCTTCTGCATAGAAACCAATCAGCTTCCAGGTTTCATTGCCAAAGCTTCATTGAACAAGCTGAGGTTAGAAGCTGATTGGTTTCTATGCAGAAGGGAGTCTGATTTTGGACTCTCCAGCTTTAGTAAATAAACCCCTTGGTGTCGGTATCAGAAGCTCACAAGTTATCACACTTGTTTATACTTGTTTATATGTAAAAGCAATAAGTGTAAAAAAAGAAAAAACTAAATCTTTATCACCCCCCACAAGTAGCACAGTTTCACTATGGTGACACTGTACTGCTAGGGTGATGGTATGTTAAAAAAAAAAAAAACATAAATAATAATATAAAAAATTAAATAAAAATGTAAAAAACATTTTTTGAAAAATTATAATTTTTTGTTATAAACGAATTTGGGGTTTTTTTCAGCTAAAAAGATAGATGAATACATTGTTGCCAAGATTTATGAAGAAAGATTATTTATTTGAAACATTTTATAAGAAAAACACTTTTTTTTCAAAATGTTTGGACTTTTTCATTTATATAGCAAAAAAATAAAAATCCCAGTGGTGAATAAATACTACCAAAATAAAGTTTTATCTGTCTCAAAAAAATGCTAAAAAATTCATATAGGTACAGTGTTGCATGACCGCACAATTGTCATTCAAAATGTGATAGCACTGAAAGCTGAAAATTGGCCTGGACAGGAAGGGGGTGAAAGTGTCCGGACTTGAAGTAGTTAAAGTATTCCAACCCATATCCCAAATGATCAGTTCAAAAAAGTAATAATGCTAAGGAGGTGCTTCTATTGTTTAAAATATTGAGGCTTAGGTGTGAGATATTGATAGACATTGGTGATTTTTGCTGATTTGTTATAGCAGGGCTGATTGAAGTTTTTTTAACAAAAAATAATAAAGGCACATTTTTTTGCAGGTAAAAAAATGTGCATTTATTTATTTATTTTTGTTTCTGGAACCTCTTTTTTTGCATTGTGACAACTAGTGGGGAGGAGAAGGTCCCCCTAGCTGTCACAACGGGGATCGAGGAGGTGCGGGGGCTGGTCCGATTGTAATATGTTACCTGAACATGGGTGTTATATGTAACATGTTATGAAAGGTGATCTTATCCTTTAAAGATACTCTCAGGAACACCAGATCTGCTGGGGTTTGGAAGATTTGCCAGACCACTGGATGGATCATGTAATAAATCTATAAGCGCCAAAGCAGCAATAGAAACCAAAATGACAACATGCTTATTTAACTGCTTCTGAATGAAAAGGCAAAACATGAAATGTGGCTTAGCCTAGATTGCAAAGTATCTAGATGTTGGCACATAAAATTTTTACTCTTCCCATATGCTGTTTTCTGTGGCATAAAATCCTTTAATATTGCTGAAGAAGATACCAAGAAAATGTAAACCTGTATTTTATGGGAAAAGTGCAGCATATATAGGTAAAAAGTCAATGATTTACTTCATTTATTATGGCCAGGCTATAAAATCTCAGATTTACTGCCTCAAGTATATTGTTCTTCTAGCAAGGATATTAAAAAGAAATAATACATCCTTTATTCTATTCTTTATTATAGGCTTTCGTTTAAAAACTAGCTACTTCAAACACACTGAAGTATGATGGCATTTCAGGTTTAATTTTCACGGCAAAAGTGATACAAAAAGAATTACTTGAATTGACTGCAGTATTAAAAATTAAGCTTGTTGCATGTGTAAGAATTAATTTAAATGTTAAAATATTTTAACCCATTTTATAGTTTGCTGTACAAACTATAGTATTGCCAAGTGTGACTAGGTTTAACTGTCTTTTAATATTTGCAACCAGGAACAACTAAGATATTTGGTCCCACAGTGTATCCCGTTGTGCCAACCAGCAGCTGCAGGGGGAGCTCAGGTTGAGGTGCCAAGATGACTGCTGTTCTTCTGGGAACGCTGGAGCGCATGCTATCCATATGGAGCGTGGGGTGGTGTCGCGTTTTCGGAGCATGCGCACCGCTCCTTCTTCAAGACCAATCCCAAGGTGATAGACGAGCCACATAAATAGGGGAAAGGGGCAGGGATGGGCGGCCTTGGAGAGTACGACACAGCCACTGATATCTTTCAGCTTTGGCGAGATCAGTGGGTATGGCTTCAATTACCCAAACTTAAACCTTCAGTGGATTTGCCAAGTCATTCTAGAAAATGTCTAGGAACACTATGTTTATCTATGCTATCCTCAATAAAGTGGCGATGCTCACCAAAACGTTTTTGTTGAGGACAGCATAGACATTTTCTAGATTGACATGGCAAATCACTGAAGGTTTAAGAGTTTGGATAATCAAAGCCATACCCACTGATTTCCCCAGAGCTGAAAGATATCAGCGCCTGTGTCGTACTCTCCAAGGCCGCCCCATCCCTGCCCCTTTATGTGGCTCGTCTATCACCTTGGGATTGGTCTTGAAGTTGCCAGTTTTGACTGTATTTCGCTCATTTGGATGGTCAGTAAAACGGCTGAACTAAACTGGTGTGTGCTCAAGATAAACCTCTGGGGTAGCGGGAAGTGAAGGGTTAAGCAGCAGTATTACTATTGCTGCTAAATGTAATGTCTTACCCTAAGACATATTGATAAGAAGCGGGTACCTGCTGGCACCCTAACCACCATGAGTCATCCCAGTCTGGACCATTCAGCTGTCATCTGGGGAACACCAAGCAAAAAGAAAAAAAATGGTGTGTGGTTCCCCTTAATATTTATATCAGGCCTTGATTTAAGAATGCAGTTTGACTGGCCAAGAAAAGAGGGGGATAAGCATGTAGCCCCTCTTCCATCCTGAACCATACCAGGCCACATGCTGTCAACATAGGCGGTCAATCATGTGGGTGTGGAGTTCCCCTTATTGTTAGAGGGAGCTTTCCAGATTACCATAAACCCCCCTGCCCTGAAAACCTCCACAACCACTGGCCCAGGCAATTTTTTTTGGGGGTCCCTCATTACCATCTATACCAGACCCTCATCTACAATAAGGGCCTGGTATAAATGAAGAGAGTCCTTGCTGATTGTTTACAAACATACCGTATTTTTCGCTCCATAAGACGCACTTTTTTCCCCTTATGAAGCGAATATAAAGGGGCCGGTCCGGTATTGCCGCCACCACCACCGCTCAGCTGTTCTCTGCTGCAGGACCTTACCTGTTCCTCGGTCTAGCGCTGTGCAGTCTTCCTGCGCCGGCTTCTTCCCGCGCCAGCATCTGTGACAGCCGGGTGCCCACTGCGCATGCACGAGAAGCGCTGCGCTTTGTGAATGGTCCGGTGTCTTCTGGGACACATGACAGGTCCCAGAAAACGCCGGGACATTCACAAAGTCCAGCGCTTCTCACACATGCGCAGTGGGCACGCGGCTGTCACAGCCGGGTGCCCACAGTAAAGGGAGGTCAAATTCAGGTACCCGCTAACCCTCCCTCCCCTAAAGGTCCGCAGTCTCTGGTCATCCCCTGTACTGTTTGCAGTCTCTGGTCATCCCCTGTACTGTCTGCAGTCTCTGGTCATCCCCTGTACTATCTGCAGTCTCTGGTCATCTCCTGTACTATGTCTGCAGTCTCTGGTCATCCCCTGTACTGTCTGCAGTCTCTGGTCATCCCCTGTATTATCTGCAGTCTCTGGTCATCTCCTGTACTATGTCCGCAGTCTCTGGTCATCTCCTGTACTGTGTTTGCAGTCTCTGGTCATCTTCTGTACTGTTTCCGCAGTCTCTGGTCCATCTCCTGTACTGTGTCTGCAGTCTCTGGTCCATCTCCTGTACTGTGTCCGCAGTCTCTGGTCATCTCCTGTACTATGTCCGCTGTCTCTGGTCATCTCCTGTACTATGTCCGCAGTCTCTGGTCATCTCCTGTACTGTTTCCGCAGTCTATGGTCATCTCCTGTACCATGTTTGCAGTCCATTGGTTCAGAATATTTTTTTTCTTGTTTTTCGCCTCTAAAAAACCTAGGTGCGTCTTATGGTCAGGTGCGTCTTATGGAGCGAAAAATACTGTACATAAGAAGCAACATCAAGGGCTCATGTACACTGCAGCTGCTAAACTGACGTTCAAGGCTGTTAAGCGTTTTTTTCAGCAGCCCCTGAACTCTCCTTTATGTTTTCCTATGTGTCCATGTACACATAGTCTTTTACAGTTGTTTACAGGCAGTAAAATCTACTCCTGAACACACCAAACTTGCATCAGGAGTAGATTTTTTTACTGGCGTTAACCGCGTTTATAAGCATTTGCGTTTAGAAGCGTTTTTTTAACTGTTCCATATCCAGATGCTGTTCAGAGCCTTTTTTCATCATCAGAAATGCATGCAAAGCATTTTCCATGTATTCAAATAGACTTAGTACACCAGCGCAGTCAGTTCCAGGTTTTGCATGAAGGAAAAATGGTAGAACGTGCCGCTTTATGCTCATGATGGGATCCATAGTGAATACAACCAGAAAAGATAGGTAATCTCAACACATACTGCTCTCTCTGCTTCTGCTCTCTCTATTTCTCTCAAAATGTCTGAAATAATAATTATTTACTATTTTTCAGTGCATTCTGGGCATTTGGGAGGGTCTCCTGAGGTTATCTTTTAAAAACGCTTCTGAACGCAAACGTGCATAAACGCGGTATGCAAACGCGGCTAAACTGACGATTTTTAACCGTTTTCCAGCAGTCAGTTTCCATTGTTCAGAAGAGTTTTCCAAACGCCCTGTGTACATGAGACCTTACGCTTCATGTACACGAGCAGCTCCGAAACTCGAGTTTAGGAGCTTTTGGCATTTTTTTGCTAAAGCTCCTAAACTCAACTCCATAAAAGCCTGTGTGTCCATGTACACATAGACTTTTACCAGAGTAGGAGCTGCCGCATTTAGGTAAGGTTAAACCTCCCTCTCCTGAATGCAGAAGAATTGCGCTCAGGATAGGAATGTTTTGACCGCCGACCATGGGAAAACACAAAACCGCAGCAAAATCGCGGTTGCCGTGGTTTTGCCGCAATTTGCATATTCCGGCAGTCCGGGTAGGCTTGTGTATATGGAAAGAAAAAAAAAACATACAAAGAAAAAACTGGTCACCTACCCAGGTCTATAACTGGCTTTTTAAACAGTGAACATGGAAGGCGTCACAAAGTAAAAAATAGGACTATCCAGTTCAACTTGCCAACCTACCCCAGTCTAATAATGGCTATTGTCAGCAAGGATTATGGATAAGTATAACTTATCAAAAGAGGGGGAAAAGAAAGCCAGTACAAACTGCCAGCCAGTTAGACAACTATCAAAAACCAAATTAACCTGTCTAAGAACATGCGTTTAAAAACAGGGGTTTAGTTAGCACACATTTGTGTATTTGTGTATTTGGAGCCTTAAACTACAATCTTTTCTTGGTGAATTTCAGCTTTAATGTAGTTGGTTGCATACATCGTGCAGATGCACCACTATACAGGCAGTTTCAGGGCATCCCTAAGCATTTTATATTTTAAGGAATCTAACATTTTTAATTTTTTCATTGCTCCCTGCAAACTGATTTTTTTTTTTTTTTTTTGCTTTGCTACATTTTCCCAAGGGTAGTGTCCTGTCCCTCATGCAATTTGTTTGACAAAACCCTTCCCTATTGGCCTAGAAAATGACTGTCTTTTAACATTCAGCTTCCATTGACTTCAGTGGGGCTCAGATTCGACACCCAAAGTTAGTACTGTTCGCCAAACCAGGTATGCCACCTTGAACCAAACCCAGGTATGTTCAGTTCATCTCTACTGCTCAAACTAGTTTGAACTGTAGACATGCTGTTTGGCTGGGTGTTCCATATCACTTTAATTAATTTCTCAGGGAGACAAATATGACTTTGTAACTAGGGTAAGGTGAAGTGCACAGTGGATGAAGGCTTGAAAGAGTAGCTGCCCAGAATATTTAGGGAAGAACTGCAACAATGGTTACTGTGGTTAGTGTGGAAAGAACAGTGTTGGGTGAGGAAACGTATGCTGGGGAGAATTTTTATTTATTACAGGTACTTATAGAGCACTGTCAATATATGCTGTGCTTTACATATATATATTATACATTCACATCAGTCCCTGCCCTCAAGGAGCTTACAATCTAAGTTCCCTAGCTCACATTCATACACATACTTGGGGCAATTTATACAGGAGTCAATTAACCTTACAACATATCTTTGGAATGCAAGAGGAAATCAGAGTTCCCAGAAGAAACCCACACAGGCACAGGGAGAACAGGAAAACTCCACTAAGACACCGAGGCGCAAAACTTATTTAGCAATGTTGTTATTGCAGATAGAACAATGTGTGTGTTGGGGACCTACTAGATCTAAAGTGCAAAACTAACGAAGGTGCAAAGTGGTGCTTTTCCTGCTAAATTCAGCTCTGGTATCAGAATTCTCCAACAGTAAAAGTGGAAGTTACAACCTCTCTTTATGCCACACAAGGTAACAGGATGAAGGATTGGGACTTGCATGTTATGTAAATAGTTGGTTGGTTAGAGCTGGATTTACAGATCTGGGTTCTGACTTATGCACTTACAACAACAGAAATGTAGCTTCACATAGTAGCAGAATACATGACTAAGAACAGAAAGGTGAAATCCCCTTTTAATAATATTTACAGAGATGCATAGGGATTTTAAACTGACAAGAAAGCAAAGTACAAATATGTTGCAGCTAGAAGTAGGTGTTTAACCGTTTTAGCTCCGCCCCATACAGGGCGGCAGCTGTGCGCAAAATCACATATATATACGTGATTTTGCATTTCAGAGTAGGGGGCGCGCGTGAGGAGTGACCACGGCTGTCAGTCACTGGGTCCCAGCTGGTGATTACTCACTGGCGCCCAGTGATTGCCGAGGAACTCCGAATGGAGGGAGAACTGTTAGTAAACAAAACAGTTCTCCTCCCTGTCAGCTCCTGCACATTGCTTTTCATGGCTGTGCACAGCACAGCCATGCAGAACAGTGTGCTTACAATGAAGCACAAACACAGCACATGATGTAAAACGGCATGCAGCACACAGTTAACCCTTTGAGCTCCCCTCATGTTAACCCCTTCCTGCCCAATGCCATTAGTACAGTACCAGTGCTTTTTTATTAGCACTAATCACTGTATTGGTATCACTGGGGATGTCAGTGACACCAGGTCAGTTCCCCCCAGTATCAGAATGCCCGCCGCAGTCCCGCTATAAGTCGCTGATCACAGTCATTATTAGTTAAAATAAAAAAGCCCACTATATATATCACCATTTGTAAACGCTGTAACTTTCACGTAAGCCAATTAATTTACACGTATTGGGATTTTTTTTTAGCAAAGACATGCAGCAGAATACATTTTGGCCTAAATTTATGATGTTTGATTTTTTGAATTTTTTTTACTGGACATGTTTAATAGCAAAAAGTCAAAAATATTGTTTTTTTCTCAAAAGTGTCGGCCTTTTTTTTTATAGTGCAAAAAATAAAAAAGGCACAGGCGATCAAATACCACCAAAAGAAAACTCAATTTGTGGGAAAAAAAGGATGTAAATTTCAGTTGGGTGCAGTGTTGCATGAGAGCGCAATTGTCAGTTAAAGTAACGCAGTGCCGTAACGCAAAAAATGGTCTGGTCAGGAAGGGGGGGTAAATCTTCCTGAGGGAAAATGGTTAAAATGTAAGGGATGTCAGCTTAGTTGCAATCCAAGGTAGGTTGCAGTGCTCCTCTCTGGATATAGTGTAGACACCCTAAGACAGGAAGTATTTTGTTTTAGCTATGTTTTCATTCATGTATGAATTTTATGTGTGTGCATAGTAAAGGACATGTTACAGGTAACAGAAATAAACACTGCAGCAAAATATGGGAATTTAGTAGGCAGTGATGTCTGGGGATGCAGTTTAATATTTAACCTGTTTTCTGCACCGAAAGATTGGCATCGAGAACTGATGTTGCTGGACTCCTGGTGCAGGTAACAAATACACTATAATCCCAAAAGAATGATGCGTGTAGAGAGATATGGGTTATACTATGTTAGATTTGAGAAGAGATCAGGGTTGTGGTTTATTCTTTGAGCATAAGCTAATTGGAACAATCAACAGAAAAATAGCATTTATTTGCATCTAAGATTTTTTTATAGCGGCGTTACTGCTGGTCCCCTGGACTATATGTCCATTTTGATGTAAGGTTTTGTATTTTTTACAAAAAATACAATCTCACACGTATGTACCGTATGTGAGGTTGCATGCAACCTTTACTTTTTTATATTTAAACCAAAAAATTAAAAAGACCTGCACCAAAGAAAATAGTAAACCACAATCATCAAATGGTGCTGCTCAAAAGATAAAAAGACATCAAAATATTATAATAAAACTCAGCGCAAAAAAATTATTAGTATTATAAAATAAAGAAAAGTCCAGATAAGTCCCAAATAAAGTCTTGCGCTCCAAATCAAAAAAAAAAATTGTGATGAGAAATTATGTAAATTTTCCAGAGTGTTCACATCTTCTGTGATAGTTCTATTTCACCCCACACTCACCAAATCAAGTGGATTCCCAAGCTATTATAGTTTAAGAATCAAAACACATTTAAAGGTGGGATGAGGTCTCCACAGGTGTATCTCACTTGCAAATCTTAATGCCTTCCAGAACGATCCCTTTTAAA